GTGGGACGGCAGTGACACAGAAGAGACCGCGCACAGTGGACACACGTGGAACTGGACAGCAGTATGATACTGACTAAAGTGGGTGGAATAGATGCTTTCTGGCTGCTGTCTTGTGACCCTTTGTCTTACCTGCCAACATCTTCCCATGTACTTCATGCTTTGTATGAACTTCCCAAGTAACTTCCCGTGGACTTTGGGCATCATGCGAAGCCCCTGGCCCCTGACCTTTGTGGATGTCATCTGCTGATCTCTGAGGATGCCTGTCACCCCACTGTGGCTGGTGCCGTCTCCACCTCCTCAGTGCTTCTTGTGGGGGCTTCTGAGCAGGAACTCTCTGACACCTCTGTGGTTTGTGGAGAGTCCTCCTTTCCAACACAGATACGGCATGTTTATATCGTCCTGTTACCAGGACCCAAAGGAAGTTTGTTAATAATCAAAGTCTCAAAGGTTTTCAGGTTTTCTTTACAGTCATTCTCAGGGAGATCAGATGCAAGTTAGCAGAGGGCCAGGGTTTCTGAAGGACACACCGGTGGTGTCCTCAACTTTTGGCTTTCGAACACAGATGTGCACATACACAACGATGTACATGACTTCTGTTGTAAGTTATTCTCCTGGCTTTGGGCCACAGTGATGATCTATAAAGAGTCTTAGGAACTGACTTCACACCTGGGTCTGCTGCTTACTCCCTGTTTGGCTTAGGGTGAGCACTGTCACCATTCTGGGCCTGAGTTTCCCTCTTGGTACAAATGCATAATAGTAATACTTACCTTAGGTGGTTGTGGCAAATTTTAAATCGCTTACAATATATAGGGTACTGAGAGCAATACCAGCTTTGTTGCAAACCCTCAGTGAACATCAGCCCTTATTGTTTTCTTACATGCTTCAACTTTCTCCTTGAGTTCTAAAATAAACCAATTTGTATTATAATATCATCAAAACAGAACTTGTATTGATAATATGAAGCCTGGAGAATTTGACTATGAGATATTTGGCTAAAACCCAAATCAATTGAAAGTATCACTTTTGAAGAGGTCTCAGTTAGTTTCAGAACAGCAGAAAAAGGAAAAGTATGGAATGATATTGGCCAAATGATATTGCTTTATTATGTGCATGTATGAATACTTAACAACGAATACCATCATATGTAATCAGTGATAATGCACCAATTAAAAATTATTTTAAAAAGAAAAAATTGAACAAAGGAGAATGACATCTTTCTCAGCAAATACTATCAAGAGCATGACAGCCAAGTTTTGTAGAAGATGAATAACATCACGCACGGCAACGACTTCTTATTCATTTATTTTTAAATGTAAATGCCAGGAATTGAACCCAGGTCCTCACACATGGTAGGCAAGCACACTACCGCCAAGTTACACCCCTAATGATGATTTTCAAAACTTTAATGGAATGAAAATGTTAACAACTAAACCAACAAACACTGGTGAAATCTAGAACCACACTTTTGCCATATTTTTTTTTTTAATCCACAAAGCAAATCCTACAAGATGGACCATCAGGACACGTGACATTAGTGAATTATGTCACTTGATACTTTTGCCACAAGGACAAAGCACTTTGTTTCTCTAAATTTTCTTCTGAAATTTGGAGACAATTGCTCTACAGACCTCCCAAACAGGTTGTGCACACCAAAGGAGATCACACATAGAAGGGTGCTTCGTAGACATCTAAGTTCCACTAGAAGGACTGCCACAAAAGTCACCCTTCTCACTTGTGACTTCTTCATTAGAAACATTCTGCAATCTCCTTCATTATTTTTTTAATCAAGTCTTACCCTGGCCTCTAAGACCTTCAATAATCTGACTTTCCCTATCAAACCACTCATCCTATTACTCCATCTCACTCCTTTAAAAAATGGCTATGAAGTGCTTACTTTGTGCCCCATTGGTTTTGAGTCCTTATTTTTTCTCTCTAGAATGTCCTCTTCCCTACTCAGCATAATCACCTTGCTAACTGTCAGTCATACTAAGGGTTTATGTGCTTTATGATAGGAGTGTGTTTTTATCAACGACGCTTTGTTATTAAGGAAGCTGAGGCTCAGAGAAGCCACGCTGGTCTTGTTGGTGGTAGTCAGAGCTGGGGCCCCCACGCAGGCCTCTTGGAGTCAGGGGGACGCAACTCAACCACCACCTCTTGTTGCCTACCTGGTTTCCCCAGAACATGAGACTGCCCTTGATTTCCATTCACTCCATATTGGCTGAGCCTCTATCCTCCACCAGGTGGAAGGGATCCCAAAGGTCACCAAGCTCCTCTGAGTGCTGGAGACTCTTCTAACGTGAGAGGTTCACCATATCTCAAGGCAGCATCAGATTATTGGGCTTCAATAACCACAGAAAAGGGTTTCTGTCTGTGGGATGCACAGCTTTCTTTGCTAATAGCTCCTAGACATGGAGCCAGGTGCAGTGGTGCTCACCTGTAAGCCAAGCTACCTTAGAGGTTGAGGCAGGAGGATCACTGGAACCTAGGAGTTTGAACCCAGCCTGGGCAAAATGGAGAGCCTCATCACAACAACAACAGCGGCAACAACAACAACACCCTGCGCTCACAAGGACCAAGTAAGAATTTAAACTAATTCATTAGTATGGGCCAGTTTTCTCAGAGCATGAGTGACTTATTTTTTAACTGTACTAATTGCTTGGTAGCGTTTTAGAAGAGAGGTGCTAATGAGTTGCTATTCAGACTCAAAAATAATTTCCTTACCACTGCTTTGTGTAGCTCAGCTTTGTAAACAGTTGAAAGGTCTCATTCTTTCCTTATTAGATATGCTTTCATATTTGGAATGTTACATCGAACCAGATACTCTACTAAATAACAACAAAGATAGCAAATAGAGTTTACTGAGTGTGTACTGTGTGCCAGGAATCTGCCGGTAGCTTCTCATGCACTGGTTTATTGAATCCTTAGCTCACTGTGGGCACTGACCACCCGGTGTGCTTTGTCACCAGTGCTTCTCATAGGTCAGCAGAAGATGAATGCAATACTAGATACAAGAAGAGACTCCATGGCAGATGGTGTCCACTCTCCCCTCGTGCTGGACTCTATAGGCTAATTTTCCAACCAAGGGTCCATGGCATGCATCTACCAAAGCTGTGTTCTTGCACTGTGCTCCAGCCAACATTCTTAATGATCGGGCATTGTGCTAGGAGTGTCTTCCACGTAGTTTCTCAAAGCTTGAATTTGACAAATGAATTTTAAAAAGACTCTGGGAAAGGAAGGACATAGTTCAAGGTGATGTTGTAAATTGCAGATCTGGAGTGGGAAGCCTAACCTCCCAGCCGGGCTAAGGAGCCTGTCATCTGCCCCACCCTGCTCTGCTGAGCTGTCAAGCTTAATAATGATGCACCCAGCATAAGCCTTCTGTTGTTTTCTAATCACTTCCTGGATGTAAACACTTCCATATAATCTCAGACAGGCTTCCTCTTCTTGCAGAGTTGCTTTGATGGTATTCCTTTGAATAATCCATGATAAGCACACCAGGGGCATGACACAAAGACACATAAGCATCTGTTGGTTTGTATTGACGATATAGCATCCTTTCCCATATCCTTTCTTCTTATGTGCAGGGCAAGGACACCATTTCAATCTTGAGCTCAAAAATTCATGCTTAGAAGGACAAAGTGAAAAAAACATTAATTTGTTAGTATGGGTCAGTTTCTTCAGAACATGAGTGGTCTCATTTTTTATTACTGTATTAATTGCTTGCTAGCATTTTAGAAGAAAAGAGAGGTGCTAATGAGGCACTAATCACCCCCCCACACACACCCTTTTAAGCAACTAATTATGACTAACAGCTATGAATCTATATCAGCTTTAAAACCTAATGAATTCAACCTTATGAAGAAAAATGATTAATGAATAGGGTCTGTATGTAGCTTAACAAGAAAAGGTCATGGTAACTACTGAGAGTAAGATGTTGAAAATGTTGCAAATTGCAGAATGGTTTTATCCTAATCTGTTATTTGAAATAAGAAGGGGTGTCTCCCTATCTTGTTTTTGTAAGCAATCTGGAGGTTCAGTGAGTATTCTTAACTCCCTCCTGGGCCAAGGGAACCTTTGAAAATTTAAGCAGTTTTCTCCTTGGAACAGTCAAGGATATCTTTCTCTCTATAGGGTTGGTGCCTCATTTGCAAGTTTTAAGAAAGCTTTGCAAGCTTGAAGGATTTGAGACTCCAGGGCAGGAATGAACCAGGAGCTCACATCTGTCCCTTTTGGTACTGCTGTCTAGATTCTGTGCCTGTTTAATGTCCTTTTCAATGACTGGCTGTGTAACTGCCCTTTGGCTACATATTAACTATTTTTTTTTCCACAGTACAATTTCTCCTGGTTTCAGACACAAGTTCGCGTTTAAGTTTTTACAATGTTCTTGAATGATAACAGAACTAGAATACAAAAATTAATAGGAAATAACCTTTAAAAATGGAATGAATGAGTTTATTCTTATTTTCAGCCCTGGGTTTTGTAATAGCTTTCCCATCAGGGTGGTTTTGAAAGATAATTCACACAGCTAATATATGTATGCGCCTAGGGCTCCCAACACAGAGTAACTCCATCCCTGACATCTCACTCCAACCTGCAGCAATTCAAATTCCACTCAGTGTTATCAACACTGGCTAATGGGGTTCTCCAACCACCAAAGTATGGGGCCTTGAATGAGTTCAGTGTCTGCCAGGGACTGTCACAGTTTGGCCAGTCACTCTTGAGGGCTTGGCGCTCCACCGTGCTGAAGTTGTGCCGTCTCTGGACTCTGCTGATGGGACAGAAAGCAACCCTACTTTGCACGAACCCTCTGTTAGATGACAGCAAAGCCATGTTTCTTGTGTCCTTATGTTATAAAGAGTTGCAGTTTCTCCAGTTTTGACTCACATATTTTTCTCTCAAAGTTCTAAAAATATAATCACAGAATTGAAGGGCAGAAAGAGAGAAAATAGGTAGTCTCGGTCCTCTAATAGTAATGGTACTAATTTCTGTGCCTGAACTTTTCCAAAGGATAAGAAAATGAATGTCACTTTCTCCACAAGTATTCAGGGAGCAGACTTTTAGCCAGATTAATAAGATACCCAAACCAGTAAGTTTCCACTCAAAAACATTTTCTCCATAACCTTGAAATCACTTAGCTATAACTCCCAGATCGGGTGTTTGCCATAGTTGAAAATATCTGGCTTCGGCTGATGGGACAGAAAGCAACCCCACTTTGGGCTATCAACTATCCATTAACTTTCTGACTCTCCTTTATGATCTGGTAGCTTTGTTATATTCATAATCATACTTGACTTCTACTTTACTTTATTCCTCTTACATGTTCACCTGAAAGATTTTGGTGATTCACATGTATTTGCTACTTGGTCACAGTTCAAGCATATCATGGTCAGCATTTATATAAATATTGTCTTCAGAGTAGTTAAACATATTTAATTGAGATTACTCTCCTTCCTTTTACCAGCATAATCTACTTTTACATCATTAGGATAACTAGAATAATTACCAAATCTGGGATCTTTCAAAAATTGATCCACATATATTGGAGTGGCTGCATATTTGTGTGCGCATGTGCACATACAAGATGCCCTGTTTATCAAAGTATGACAGCCTTGTCTTTAACCTCAAGGCTTAATATTTTTCTGTCAATCATATTGGTAAATTCTTGAAGGTGAATGCTATGCTTAGCCCTTCAAAATTTCTTCTCACAGCACCCAGCACAGTGTTAGCACTAGACTATTATATAAAAATGATGTCAAGTGAATCCTTCAACTATCCGTCAACTTTATGACTTAAAAAAATTCAAATTTTGTTACTATAATAATATTTAAGAGCATGAGTTACAATCACATCCTATCTGTGAATCTTGGTTTTGCCTCACAGTAAATACATGACCTTGAACAAATTACATACAATAGGTCTTTTTGCTTCTGTTTTCTCATTTATAAAATTATAATAAAAATAGAAAAAAAACTCATGTCAAAATTACACTAGTTAAGCCAACATTTACATGTATTTTGTCTCTTCCTTATACAGAATAAGAACCAACAGAATGTCAGCTTTTATGTTCCTAATTCTCATTTCATTATATGGATCATTTGAAGGGAATCACTCTTGTTTTTTTTTTTTTTTCCAGAAATTGGAGCTAAACATTACACACACAGAGACACACACAACTAAACATGAGGTAAAACAAGAATTAGAAACCAGTATCAGGGTCATAATTTGAGCAGCATGGTGGGGAAATACAATGCTAGTTGATTTGTACTCTTCCTGTAATAAATATATTTAAAAGTATGTGCCCTAAGATTTCATCTATAGAAAACTTAAGATCCAAATCATGAGCAGAGTCAGGATCAGGAATTATATTTGAACAAACTATAATGAGGATGCTGAACTAAATTCATCCCTTTAAAGGAGATTAAACCCCTCAAGTCAACAACAGCATAGGCAGACTGGGGTAAACCCAACAAAGTTCTCCCTTCCTTTTTATTGTTGGGGGATGCTATTAATCATTAGCCAGGCCAGCAGGCTGCAAATCAGCAAGTGTCTTTCACCTTAATGGTCAAAAGCAAGGAATTCATGAGGCAGACAGACTTTGGCAGGCAGACTCTACTCACATCCTAAGCCTCTGCTCCCTACCAGAGATTGTCTCACTATCTCCCAACCAACCTTCCTATTAACAACAGTATCGTAGGAAATAGTTAAATATTTAGAAATGAAAATCTTTTTTATTTAAAAAGTGGAAACCTGTATCCTTTTCTATCTTATACTTTTATCGGGCAAGGAGTGGCTGCTGTTTTCTTCCCATCATATACTTTCTGCATCAAAGCCACTAATCCAGAATCCTGAAAGTCTGAAAAATCTATCCTGACATGGGAAGCTAAAATAATCAACTTCTTTTGGAGCAAAATCAGTGGAGTGCAGACTAATGCATATTTTATATCTTAGTTTAATCCATCTGATGTAAACCCTTAATCCTCAGTACCCCCTCTTGTTTAGGCAAAGCTTGTGGAAAGTCTTCAAAATCAGGATTATAGAGCCTAATGCTAAAGCAGCCGACGTTCGAAAAGCATTTAGTTATTTGTGCTGTGAAAGAATTGGGTTGCACTAAGTACGCAGTAAGTGAGAGATCCTAGCGATTGCAGCCACATTTTATTGGGCCGTTAAGTAGGAGATTGGTTCTCACTTTTCCTGAAGGCTCTACTTGTAATTATTTTTAAAAAGCTTTACCTTCTGAGAATTAATGTGACAGTTTGTAATATTTCAGTATCCAACATTTTATCCCTCCAGATTAAAGCAAATTGTTAAGAAAGGCTCATGGGCAGGCTCTGTTGCGTAAGGTAGATGGATGTATCCATAGAGACTCTCCAACTCAACACCTTCTTGCTTCCCATCAATAAGGAAAGCTAATTTCACAGTACGGACTTGAAATGTCTTTGGCTCTTTTGTTTGGAATAATTCATCATGGAACATCTGGCTCACTCATAAAAGCTTTCCTATTTCAAATAACTTTCTAGCCTAAATTGTTCCCGATGTATCAGCATTTCTTTTGGTTATTAATATGATGGACAAGTTTTGTACCGCTCAGTGCCAACATGAAGACTCTGTGACAAGTGAAATTTGTTCTCCACGTGTCTAATGATGCACAAGTGAGGTCCCCTCTTCCCCTTTTCCCGAGAGCTGTGTCTCCCCTTTCAGTGAGTGTGTCCACACAAGCGTCTGGTCCTCATGAGTAGAGCATCACGGTGGAATTACTCAGTTCTTCATCGAGCTGTTGGAGGGTTTCCTTTAAGTGTTTATTTATTGGATGTTTGTTTCCATGTATTGTTATTGTTATTATTATTGCACACCCATAAAAACGAGTTTATAGTTGATTTCAATTCGAGAGAAAAGCAATATATGCTAACCACACCAATTCTGATGTAATTTGATAAGCAAATCAATCTTCCATGAAGAAATGAGCTCTGCAATTTTGGGACTGGCATCTATTAGAAAATAACCCACATTGCTTATAAAAACATGCCTGATATGGAATTTCCAAATATTAAAACAATTAGTTTGTACATTACATGTTGCCAAAATCCTCAACACTTTGGAGTCATTTAAAAGAACATAAAATAACAACATCAAAATTGGATTATAATGTGGGAAATGAAGAAAAATAATGAAGAAAGTGAAGCATTTTGATTGCAATTATTAATAGTAGCTATATCCAAGCAACAAAAAAAAAAAAACCCCACTAAACTTTAGGACTTGAGCTTCCTTTTAAATTATCTCATTCTCATGGTCAGTAAGACGGAAACATATTTTCTTTGAGAGAGAAACAAATTTCCTCAGTCAGTTCTGTGTAGACACAGAGAATTTAAATCTCAACAAACACATACTTATATAAATATGTACATTTAATTCCCAGATTTATCCCTCCAACAAATGCCTCTATTGCCAAAAGGTGTTTCAGAGGAGCTAATTGAAACAAGTTGGCATATGATATTTTGTTTCTAATCTTCTTTATGAACTAAGTGGTAAGGGTTGTTAGTTATGATATTATCATCTAATTAAGGCACACTTATTGCATAGTCATTATAATAAATATGTAAATATAATGGCAATTGCAGCTTTAAGCT